AATTAAATGTCATTGCATTCGCATGAATCTCTAAGTTTTTTCCAGCTATAAAAAAGATGCCTTTATATCATTAGATGAAAAAGGCATTGATTTAACAAAGAAAATGAATAAAATGTCATCGAATTTTCTACAATAAGTATGAAAATGGCAAATAATTCTGTAACAAATCATTATTATTACGTACATACAGAAAAAAAAGTAAAACTTGCGTCATCTTTTGTTTTTTTGAACGGAAAAAATATATATCACTGTAAGTAAGGCATGTTATGCATGAAAATAAAAAGTGAACGGATTTCTCGTGCCTCTTCTTAAAAAGCACAGCCGTGTCATACACCATGAAATCTCTGATGCATAAACACTTTATTATTCATGGCAAAAAATTAGCCATATGCATATCACACTGATTTTTTATACATAGACATCATCATTATCATCCATGATCATTTTGTTATTATTAAATATGAGTTAATGTCGAACAGCACAAAGGAGGAATAATCGCAATTGCGAATGCACTTCATTGTTGTAAAAGCTACCTGAACAAAGGAATTAATTAAAGTTTTTCCATTCTCACTCGCGATCTACTTCTGACTTTACTGGATATAATAAAATTGTGCTAATATTCATGAATTTGCTTCGACAAAACCACAGCTGAGTTGCTTGCAATTGTTATAATTTGTAACCTTTGGATTGATTTTATATATGGAGATATGGAAAAGAGCGGTTTTGCTGGAAGTGGTTTTAAGGGGGTTTATGCTGGATATTGTGGCTAGTTGGAGTTGCAATTTCGAAAGAATTATAAGACATTTGAGACATTGAATGGTATAGAATCTAAATCTTAATATTCTTTGGAATTTAATGGGAATTTATGCAGCAATTGATGCGTACTATAGAACATGATGCTTTAAAGATGTTGAAAGGTGTCAGAAAAAAATTATAAAAATAGTTCAGCAAGCTAGTATCAACCTAGTGCTTAGGCAAATGATGATTATTAGGATCACAACCTGTTACTTAATCTGAAATACCCAAATATCGCTAATACTGAGGATCATACCAAAATGTCAGACCCTCATAATCGACCGTCCAGCACTTAAAAAATTCCTCCCCAGCAACAACATGATTCGCAAGCCATCCTCAACAATTCCCATTGAATTTGAAATTCAATTCCTATTTAAACACTTCCAACAGACTCCAACAAACAACTTATTACTCAATACTAGATCGCAATCTATCCGTGTAGGAAAATGAGGCATTTAAAAGTCAAAAAAGAGCATCAATTTTATTAATTTGCAATTCATTGGCATCGTTAAGGTGCAAATTTAACCTCACTACACTTTGTATAAATTATTAAGATGCAGATACGGAGAGAAGAAAAAAAGGGAATTTAGGCCGAAGTCGATGTATTGTCGTTAAACACAGCTGTGAAATTGCAAACAATGAGTAAATAATAATTTTTTTACACTTTTGCTAGCGGCAATAAAAGGAAAAAAAAATATATCGACCGTCTGATAAACAATCTTAAATTGATTTCGCCATGATGACGCAGGCATACTGATTTGTTTGAATATTTTTGAGGCAATTGCGGAACAACTTTCTCCTTTCAAATATTTCTTAATAAAAATGTGAGAGTAAAAATAATGCAATTCGCTATGGGGATTTGGATTTGATATTTAGTAATAATTGTATATAATTCAATGTAACAGGTGTGATGGCTGAATAATCAGTACTTGTGCATTAATCACTGTCAGGTATGATGGAAAGAATAAAGAAAAGTTTGGAGTCAATATTTTTTGCGTGTCTCGACGAGTTTTACGTTGGATATAAAAGTGTAATTAGCTATCGATACTTTGTATTGACATTGTAGTCAGTATTTCACGATTTTGAGTAATTAAGGTTTATGAGGGTCGTTTACTTACGACGTCAATCTTGGAAACTTTGTAGGAGAGTGTCTTGAGTATACCTTAGTTAATAATATGGCTGGATTACTCTAGAAATCGACCTTAGTAGCTATATGACATCTTAACTATCCAAAAACACACAAATTAGTTCCAAAAAATCCAGATTCTCGATCAAAATCATTCATGATCCTCCCCAGTCCTCAAAATGCACAACTTAATCCCTCAAAATCCCCAATATTAATTTCCAAACTCCAACAAATATATAAAAATTCGGATGATTAATTTCGCATTGTTTAAATAAATTGTTCCATGTTAAAGGGTAAGGAACGCCCGACGACAAGGTTAAAAAAAATCCTTTCACAATTTGTGTGTCGTGTCGATGTCTTTTTGCGGACGTAAACGTATCAGACACCTTACGAACAAATGAAAAATTTCACAATTTTTTTTATTATAACTTTACACGGATAAGATTAATAATGAAGTTCATTATTCGCATATTTCAAAAATAAATGAAATATAACGAGTCAGTCAGCGATACATGCATTGTGAGTCAGAGTCACTGAAGAAGGCCAATGCATAAAGAAGAATTTCTGTTGATAATTTCGCAAAAAAAAAAAAAAATTAACCGTAGATTTAACACAATTTTCATGTCGGCAAACTTGCATGACATTATATAGCGGCAATAGCAGGCGACTAATGTGTGTAAATGTACGATGCTGTCATAGAAGTCATAGATTTTTATTTTCACAAATTACATGTAATTTTCTATGGCGTGTTTCATCCATTCTTTAAATGATTCGATTTCAATTCCTGGAAAACTTAATATATACATATACAAAGAGAGGCAGCATAATGTATGAATAAAAAATAAAATTGTACTATTTCGCATGCTTATAATGGTAGAAATGGGAAGAGTCAATAGTCATAGTCTAATGCATTATAGCCGGTATTTGCGATTGAATGCACCGTACATGTATTTTTTATTGTTTTCTGCCTGCTTTTTTTTAAGACGAAGTAAATAACCCCTGAGAAGCGAATTGAGAACAGGCTGATTGTACAGTTTTGCTCATTTCTGAAAACCTCAGCAAAAAATCGCATTCAGGACAGAAAATTTTGTTCTTGCCTGTTCATTCAACCTTTTTTTTTTTATTTCTCGAAAAAAAAAAACATCTTTTTTTTGTCACATCAGGAGTGCAATGTACATCCATAAATACGTCTGCATCATCATTTAAAAAAAGCTTATTCTTCTTATTCTTTTTTTTCTGTACGTTCCTTCACCTCTTTTATGCCGTTTGATAAGTAACCCCATCCAAAGCATGTAATCATAATCATCTAGAGTCATTCCTCAACATAGATTCTTTTTTCTACATGAATGCGATATGCTCACACACCTCAAAAAATAGTGAAGAACAAGAAGATTTCTGGCTGATTTTCATCTTCATTCTATATTCTTTATAGAATTCACACAACTACACGTGCAGCCATGAAAAACTTCACATACAAAGTAGCATGTAAAAAGTGTCCTGGAGTTTATTGCCCTTTACAATATATTTGTTGCTGTTATTTTTCCTATAATTTTGGTGCAACAACAAGCTAAATAGAATATCATATAGCAAAACGGTCGACGCTGATTCCAATATTCATGTGAGAATGACGCCAATGACATTATTTTAGAGTGGGTTAAGACTTATTTTTTGAGAATATCTGAATGAGCATTGACCTAAGACACGATGCTGACTAATGCACGCGAAAAAATAAAACACATATCCGACCTTTTTTGAGCACACAGTTTAAAAAAATGTGTGAAATTAAAGGCAAGCAGGAATGTCAAATTCAGAACAGTTGCCAATCAATTCTTCCATCCAAAAAAAAATTATTTTTTCTGACTGCACATCGCAAAATTTACAGAAATAAAAATAAAAAAAAAATATGCGGAGCAGAGTGAAGAGCAGAAAAGATGGTGCAATTTTTAACCAAATGCCCTAGGTCATGATTCGACTTTGAAAATTTTGCGCGCTATGCCGAAGACAGCTTCGGCTTTTTTTTTCTGCGACGTACATTTTGTTGTTCTTGTACAAATTCAATATTTCGGGCTTGTTGTTGTTGTTGATGTACATATGTGCACACATATAATGAGAACAGGCTATGAGGCTGCTTGCTGGTGCCTAAAAACTCGTCTCTCATTTCATATTAATATGTATGCATGCATGATGCTATTGCAATATCCTGAATCATTCAATGTGTACATTATACTCCTCGAGACACTTGTTGTGTCTACTTCTTATTTATTCTCATGGCAGATAAAGCTTTTTGCAGTCGCTTTTTATCATTCTTTTTTTTTCCACTTACTTTATTTCTTCTTTATGTTAGCATCTCTCTGCATTCATACAATTTATATTGCAATTTTTTTTGTAAATATTATTTTATATGCAACGAAGTAATAGCAGCAGCAAGAAAAAAAATCTGGAGTATTGTACTTTTTGCCGGGTAGCATATTATGTATTCATTCAACCCCGACTTTGCCGTTTATATATAAAAATGTGCATGTACATGAGTGCATGCACATAAACACAGTAAATGTTTTATTCTTCAGAATCATGCCACAGACACATAAATGTTTCGCAAAAAAAAGAACTAAGCATAGAAAGGAACTTACAGCCAATTTTCGCTTGATTGTGTGAGCATAAGCATCTTTCTTGTGCGAAATAATCTTCCTTTCATTCTGTATGAATCAACTTAGGATTTTTGTGTGGGTGTGTGTGTCGGTTTATGTAGAAAAGGACATCAACACCATTTTTTTTTCTTATTGAATTAAAGACCAAAAAAAGAAGTCAAAATGCCGAATCAGAGGGTGTTTACATCTGCTCGCACATGGATTCGTTGAGTTTAATGCACTCTCGTCCTAATCTTGGTAATGAAAAATGAAAATTCTGTGTTTTTTGATGCATCGTAAAAAGTGTCTGAAGTGCACAACACAAAGTTTGTTGTGCTCCTAAACTCGAGCATTGCACTCTGTTTTACTTTTTTTTTCATATCACTTTATGCTTTTACCAAAAATGGATTGACAATTATAATATTTTGAACTCTTTTTTCTTCCATTTGCAGGCACCATATGAATTGGTTAAGAAATTGGAAGAAGTTCGTTTATCAGAATCACGTCGCTCGCCACGTTTGGCTGATCAAGAGCGCGATACAGATTTTGCACGTCTTGCAGATATGGCCGGCGATCGACGTCGTTCATCATCACATAGCATTGACGTTCCAATGCAATTTACGCAAAATGGGTAAGTACAGAAATCAATAAAAAAATTACTTTTATTTTTTAATGCAAATATAGAGGCAATTGAATCATTGTAAAGCTTTTAAGTTTGTGGGGGTCATTGATTGATGACGTCGATGAAACATTATGACTATTGAACATCCTCAATCATCTGTTGCTCAACTTTCATAAAGAATATCTGTGTTATACGATTTATTAAGCATTAAAGCTGGTTATCATTGTCTTAAGTAAATTAAGTAAGATACCACTGATAGTCCTAGAAACTGATTTCAGAACAAAGACTAAGAATCCCAAAATAAACCTCACAGCCATGATTTAATTACCATAAGGCTCACAATAAATTTTAAACCCTTAAACCTCCACTGAGGACACCTTATGTCAAACTATGGATACTCTCTAAACGAAAACATTTAAACACGAACCCTGATGTCAGATTGACCAAACCGGCTGTTCTTTCTGTTGCGTAAACCTCAAAAGCTAATATATATTCGATACAGAGAATGAAATATAATTTCGTTGTCATGAAAAGTCATGAACCGTTGCTTTTTATTTTGCATATAAATAACTCTTTCCATATCTTTTTTTTTAATTAACTGACTGACTTGTTCCCTGTGCCTCGTCGGTCAATTCCCTTACAATTTTTTTTTTCTTCATAAACTGTTCACACAACTGAAGAGGCACGTAAAATTTATTGAAAAAATATCATTTTTATATCGTGTGCTCCCGAATCAAGAAGAGAAGCAGAAGAAAGATCGGTTCGGTCTTGAAACACCTGCAAAAGTGAATCATCAAGAAGCAAAAAAAAAAAAATGAGCGAATGAGTACAGGAAGAAGAATTGCAAATTGAAGAGTAATAGCTTAAATAAATCGATATTGATGGTAATATTTATAGCTTCACTATGACATAAACTCGACAATTTCATTGCACTGCACTTAAAATTGTACAAAAAAAGCCCATTTTTGGTAGAGACAGAATAATAATATTCACAACTACAACGATGATCCACACGATGAATGATTAAATCACACAAATGAACAAGCGACACAAAAACATAAAATAAAATAAAAAAATTTGAAAGGCGAATGAAATGGAAGTAGCCAAAAACAATACTTTTTTTGCGAATATACACACTTACACACTATCAGAATGAGAAGTAAATTTCAGTCCGCGCTTCATCATGACCTTCGACAACAGATTTTGCGAGTATTGTGTCTCTATATAGCCAACGCAGAGCATATAATCAAGAGCAATGAGAGAACAAGTTTGCAAACTTATTATTTTTATTATACTTTTGTGTCAATGTCTAGCCGGATTTTTGTGCATATCGAGATTGAATGAATAAGATTTTTTTTATTTCGTTTGTTGTTGCTTACTTTTTTCGACTCGCTCGAGATGAATTCCATACTTTTGTCATTTATATGTCATTAATACGCATACACAGCTTTTTTGTTAATCCTCAAACGGCAAATGAATGTTAAAGTGACACTAGAACCGGTATTATTGCTTTGACCAAGTAACAAGAAAATGCTCATTTTTGAAGACTTCTTTTTTTATTGATCAAGGCGCATGTACTTTGCTGCTGCTTCGGGAAATTTTCATTTTCTTGTTGTTGCACTTTTTATTTCAAGGTTGGCGTGGGTGACTTTTTTTTGGGGTTATGTTGAACTTGGTGAAAGGTTCAATAAATTTCTACTGAATTCACACGAAAAATTATCTTGAGACACTCCATGCACCCCATGGACTATCTCAACAATATTGTTTAATTTCCTTAAAGCAGTCAAAACATTTCCTGAAGTACGTGAGCCTTGTGGCTGTGCAAATACATCGAAATTGTTTTAACTGTTGATGGTTGTGCTTAAATGACGTCTAATTTTAATTATAGAGGTTATTTGATGCTTAACCCAAAATTAATGCTTCTATCAGAGTAGATCGATTCGCTAAACCTTAATATTGAGAGTGACATCACCCCCAACTTCACCCCATTCATGAATAACAATTTTTTCTCCTTGAAACAACCTCGCAATTTTTATGCGATTTTTGGAACCAATTGTCCATTGCGATTGTCTTCTTCTTCTCCTGTCTGACCAATTATTATGACGCTTTTGCTGTTTTTCTTTTATTTTGAATATTTATTTATATTTGTCTGTAGATTTATTTTATACATCCTCAATTCTCCTCTCATGTCGAAGCTTTATTACCTTTAAATGTCTTGTTTCTTGTGCTTCACATTCATTTCTCATTCTCATAATTAATGAAGGGTTACAGACATACAAAAAGCAGAAAAAAGTATTCTTTCCTTTTACTTCATGTTACTGTTTTTTTGTGGAATAAGAAATTGTTTCTAGACTGAACAAGAATTTCGGAATGATTTCATCGGAATTTCCATAAAACTCAAAAAGAAGAATTTGAAGTCAAAGAAAATTAATTTAATTAAAAAAGAAGTGAAATTTTGCTGTTTGTGGCTACAATGTTAATTACATCGGTGAATGTAAGAATGTTTGGGGTGCAGCTAGGATCAGGCAACTTGAGATTAAATCCTATGACCAGAAAAATTCAAAATTCCCTTGTTTGATTCTAATTTAATTTAATTTGCCTGATGAGACCCCCTCAGCTTAGTCTGATCACACCCCCTGACCATATAATGATCAAAACCAACCACCTGACATTGCGACAAAAATTAAGGTAAAGTTCTCAAATATAAAATATTGCAAAAAACAAAAAAATATTTATAAAAATGCCACATAAATTTGGCTGTAAAGTGTGAGGCGGCTAATTAATTTTATGACATACAGTAGCTACTGTGTGTTGATCTCCTTTCATATTATACATTATCATACCTGACCATACTCAAAATATTCTGTTGAATAATTTTTTTTATAGTAAAAATATTGTAAATTGCTGCAGCAAGTGCAAATTTATTTTTATGATTAAAGCCTTGCCAAAAAACATTGACACTTTGAGTGTCTCTCTCTCGCTGTCCCCGTGATAAAAATTATACAGGTTTTCTACGAATGAGGTGTAATTTTGTATCACTTGGCGAGATGATTAAGTGACATACACATAGGCAGACAAGCTGCTTATAAATTCACAGTTATAAACGTATTGATTAACCGGTTATCTCATTTGCAAGTTAATTGCTGGCTGTATAAGACACAAGACTAAAAATATATATAAATATCAATCCAGCATATTTACATATGCTCTTTTTTGATTTACAACCTAAACATGCTCGCGTATGTTTAGAAGAATCAGTTTCGCATACATTAATCGACCTTCGATTTCAATTTATTATAAATAACTATCATAGAATAAAGCTATGCTTGCTTCCCTTTAATGGCTATCGAATCTCGAGTGTGTTTGGCTGTGTAAACACAAACGATCTATTGTTAGCTCTTACAAAAAAAGTATGTTGTCGATATATGAAGCATTAAACGGCAAAAGAGCCGAGGTCATCACATTCGAGAATTCATAAAAATTCTTTACTTAATTGGAATTCAGGCATTCATTATAATGAAGATGATCGTGATGATCAGGAAGTGAGATTATGAGTGGATTCTCTACTTTTATTTATGAAAAATTGCCATATTTATTCCATTCATTCGAAAATTTATGACGCGATACAGTTTACAGCGGCCTGGCAATCTCAACTCAGAAGGGAACAAAATTAATTTTAATCTAACCTTGGAGAGCATTTTTTTTCTTCCTCTCTCTCGCTGCTGCTATGTATTCTAGCTAGTTTTAAAAATGTAAAAAAATCTGAAAATTTTCGAAAAGAAGAAGCATGAAAAAATGTTTTTCGGATATTACGAAATCGCTGTGAGGAAAAAAAAGTTTTCTTTTAAAACACACAAAAATTTTACATTTCAGCAAAATGGGTGGGCAAGCAATAACAACAACAACAGAAAGTGAATCACTGAGACATATGAGAACTGTTATTTTTAAAGAAAGAAAGAGAATAAAACTAGATAAATCTAATAAAAGACACATTCTTTCAACATATAAAGCATAGAGATTGATGATGTGAGGAGTAGTTCGGAAGGTTGAGATAGGTAGCTAGTTTACGGGTGATTCACACTTAGTACAAGCTTTGATGGACACATTTTTCAAGGGGATAAACCTTAACAAGTTTAACCACTGCTCCAGATCTCCTTGTGATCTACACCTGCTTCTGAAATAAATCTACTCCTGATCTGAATCTATTCCTATGCTCTAAAGTGTTAAGAAGAATTTAAATCCTCTGGCAATACCCTTTACTCCCCCTCCTAACCTCCAAAAATGTCATTTCTTATGTAGATTACAGATAGAATCTAAAAATAATTTTCACATGGCCGTACACGACTAGTTTAATCTAATAGCCAACAAAAATACCCAAAGCCAGACTACTAATAATGTAAAAATTATAGTCGCTTACATAAAATATTAACCACAGCCATAGAACAGTGGACAATATCATTTTGTGAACTTGACAAATGTGTCCCGAAGCGATTGAGAAAAATTATCGGTCAAGAACCTTTTTGTTATTTTGTTATTTTTTTTGCGGTGAATCAAGCTTTTCATTTTTCTGATGTGTGTGAAAAAAAAACTCAACGGAAATTGATATTAAATGATTGCTTATCAGCTGATACTTTCATGTTTTATAGAATTTAGTTCGTTCTTATTTTTATTACTATTTGTCTGCTGTGCTAGATTCGATGAGCAATAAAGATGAATCGATTTATCAAGCTTTATGTGTGCTGTTTATTTGAATATGTTTGTTTTACGATGTCTCGTGATGCCTCTTGAAGTGAAGGGTATGGATGATAATAAATAATGCATCACATCCTTCCACGAACTTTGGACATTTTAAAATTAGAAATTCAATTTCAAGTCATGATAAAAAAAATCTCGAAAAAAAAACTCAAGTCACAAAAAGTGAGAGCAACTTGCTATCAAAAAACCTTTAATCTAACAAATGAAATCTATAAATACATGTTACAGAGATATTTAAGAAGCAAGAAGAGTGTATTTTATAGATCAGCAGAGCCAAAAATTAGACATCGACACACGTGTAAAGACGTCTAAAATCATAGAAAATGAAAAAGTTTTCAAATTTTTTTGCACGCAAATTTGATTTCCAAAATATAAGTACACATGGTGTCCTATATAAAAGTGAAATGTGCGTAAAAATTGGGTAAGAAGAAGGCGTTTGATGAATTTGAAAGTCACGCACATTTGACGATGGGATGTCGTCTTTTTGAGGTTGCTGGGGAATTTCTATTTAATTTTTTTTGTGTTCCGTAATGGAATAATTATTGCAATCTAGTTGATGTCTTAGAAAGTGTAGGGAGGTGTAGCATTATTAGGTGGTTTAGCGTTGAATATGTGCTATGTGTGATTGTAGGGTGTCTAAGATAGGATGAACCTGCTTTTGAAATAATATTGATTAGAATACAATTTTTAAGTCTATCTTCTTAATAAATGAACTACGTTAAACTACAAAAGCTACTAAATGCTACTAGTACATCATAAATTCTCCATTTTATGTAACACCAAAAAAAAAGCTGAAAAACCACAAAACCTTACAAAAATAAATCAAATTTACGCAATTACCTAATAAATTTCACAAAAATTCACCACAATCCGGCAATAATTAAACCAAAAAAAAGCCCCAAATAAGTCTTAAATAATTAAGCCATTTCATCAAGCAAAAAATTGAGTGTCATTCAAGTTGAAGTGTAAGAAAAAAATTCGCATCTATTTTGTGCTAAGACATGCGTCAAAAAATAAAATAAAAAAATTAATAGTGAATGATGATGTTAAAAAACGAAAATGAAAAGAAAAGTAGCTTGATTTTTAACCGATTTGAGTGAAAGTTTTTTTTTGCTTCTTTGCCGTTTCTTTCATTTCATGCAATTTTCTTTCTTTCTTGTTATGCCTGAAATTTAAATGTTTTTCTCTTTCTTTCATCATCGACAAGTGGTCTCCGTTAACTGATTGAAAGTATGTACATACAATGTACATTGTAATATTTGGATGAAGAAGGGGGAAATAAATTTATAAAAATTGTAAGCATATCAGTTCAGCTAAAGCCTTCATTCGTAGAGAGAGAGAGAGATTGTGCTTGTTTCAATTTAGTATGGCTCATTAAGCGAGTTATTTAACTAGCATGAAAGATAAAGGAAAAAAAAAATAACAAGAAAGCTCTCGTTAAATTGCAAATTAAAAGTTATTGCTGATCATTTGATTTTGTACTATATGCTGGATATATAAAGTTGGACTCGACAATGTCATTGAGATGCGCGCGAAAGATTGGCAATATCACAAACAATGAGGATGAGGTAACAGCCTCACAATGTTGCATACAATTCACAGCAGGAGATCGCTTAAAAGTTTCTTTTTTTAAAGCTTAAAACTCATTTACCGGTTTTTAGTCTTGTGATTAGTTTTCTTTCATCTGTTTCCTGGTTACTTTACACATGCATAAAAAATAGTTGTGGCAGGGGTGTAGGAAGGTTCTTTAGATATGATTGTAGACTCTTTGGAGGTTTAAACAGGGTTTTGAGTAGAAAAACATAAAATATCGTCTTGTGGTTCCCCAACAATGAGTGCACCCCTGACCATCAGCAATAAGAATTTACATTCACCGTAAAGTTTTACAATAACAACAGCAATCGGTCTATTTTACGATTGCGGAAGAGTTGTGAGATTTATGCAGCAGCGGTAACAGCCAGAAGCAATTTCGGCTACCGGTTAATTTTTGTTTTCGTCATAATAACCTCGAAAAAAACATCTTTCCATAAATTTGTAGCAACATTTATGAGACGAAGAAAAAAAAATTTAAAAATATATAAACACAGGGTAGAGCATTTCAAGGTAATCGAGGTGTTTCTCTCAATCACATTCAAAATCAAGCTCCATTCCTCCTCCTCCACACTGGCACATTAAAAACAGCTTTTTTTTTTGTTGCTGAGCTGTTTAATTTATTCCGATATCATGTCTTGTTACACAATCACCTGGCATTTGAAGCTTATAGGAATATCAAGTTGAATTTCAACTTCTGCACACAGATACAGCTATGAAATGATTCAATTGCTCTTGTTCAATAATGGCTAATGCGCATCACAATCTAAAAATGCTTTTAATTTAATTGTTGACTTCTTTTTGTTATTTTAATAGCTCGCGTAAGCGTCGAACATCCTACACACAGGACGAACGTGAATACTTATTGGATGGTGATGATATGGATGAGTGTAATGCAGCATTGGTATTAATGAGTCTTTCATGTTCACCTAATTCGCCACGTCAAGGTAAGTCTTTAATTTTTGGTCAATAATAATAATAATAATTGAGTGAAAAGTGGCAAAGCTATAAAAAAAAATAGAACTATACATCTGGCAATCAGTTGGAACATAATACCTTGAACTTTGCAATAACCGTGAATATTTAAAATAATTTGCGTAATTTCTCATCTTCTTTTTTTATTTTTATTCTTATTACGACATAGCATGGGAGAGCGCTATATTTGGTACTAGCCCTGGAGATAGCATTCAATCATCATCATATAGTGGATCATCATCACCACCATTAAGTGATGATGGTAATGTCAGCAGTAGTAGCATGAGTAGCAATGAACAAAAGTACATCATCAAACAAAATCTTCACAAATTGAAAATCAATCAGCACAATGTTAAAGTTCATATACGACGTGGCCAACGTACAACTTCATTATCAGCATCCGATGAAGGTATCGTCATGGATTATGGCGAGGAGATGGCACGCAAACGACGAGTGAGTAGCGCCACTTTATGCTTTTATTAAACAAATTTTTTATAATGTGTCATGTTAATCACAAATTTTGCAAATTGGAGCGACTGAAAAAATTATCAGTGACCAAAAACAAAAAAAAAATAGAAATTGAGAACTTAAAAATAATTTTTTGATAAGACCACTTCGTTACTTACCGCATTAATACTTACAATTGGGTCAGCGGCGATTAAAAATTAATTATAATTTCCATTTTTTATATTGAATAAGTGTGAAATTATGGAAATAATCGCTAGTTATCACTTTTTGCGGCACAATTTCCAACCAATAGAAGTTGGAAGGTTAATTCTTAATTAGCACATAACTCATTAGTAATCAAAGAACTGTGACAATATATGAATTGGTAATGAAATGGTATTTGCCGGTTGATCTACAACACAACATTGTTGTTTATTGACGGCGTTTCTATGTCATGTTGATAAAAAAACAATATGAACGATTGGGCAATAAAACATTGAGGAAATGAGCTGCTTCTTTTTGCACGTCCGGTAGTTTATCGATATCGATTGAAAAGTTTGTAAGGAAGTTGATTGTTCAATTTTTTGATTGAATTTCGTGAAATGAAATTTAACGGCTTTTTAACATATGAATTAAGGGGTGTGAAACTATGAAAATTTAAAATTCGGGGTGTAAAACTATGAAAGTTTCACATTTAATCCTCAAAACTCAATTTAACCACAAAATTAAATCCATACAGTAAATCAGCAACCACAATAGCTTTTAAAAATAATCAATCAGTCAAAATGTGAATGAAGCACTTAGTTTCAGCACAATAAATGCATTGAAAAAATGAAAATCATTGAAAATCAATTAGTAACTCTGTTCTATCCATTTCGAGCAGGAAATTACAATTTCAATTTTTTTTGAGGTTCTAGTGGGTGATTTATCAATACATTCTTATCGCTTTTTGTTGTTTTTTCTGTGATTTCAAAAATAGAAACAAAAATAATGAATCTTATCGCAGTGGCTCCTCTGAATATTTAAGTATATATGTGCATATCTTGTGTGACAGGCAGGCTTGCATGACCACATACTTTACTTAACTTACAAAATGTCAGTCATTTGCACTAGTAATAAAGGAATTTAAGAGAACTTGATGAAGATAACCTTCAAAAATTAAAAGTTTTATTTTATTTCTGTGTTGTTGCTGTCTTTTTGTTATTTTTGAATTTCTGTTGTTCTAAAAATACTATAACTGAGAAGTTGTTGGGTTAGCTTAGCTAGTTAGCAAAAAAGCTGTTTTAATGGCGTCACAATGCTAAACATGTGTAGATAAATCGGTTCTCTTATTTTTCAATGAAACGAGAAAAAAAAAATCCAAGACATTATGTCATCTTCATGTATATGCCTCAAGCAATTAGTTTCTTTGCGGCATCAAAGTTTACTTATTAAATATATATGTATGTAGATGGTTTAAAATTAGAATCTTGTTCATCGATGCACACCAGATGAGATGAGATGCTTTATGAGTAGTATTATGACCTTATAAAGTAGATTTTTTGAATTGAGGGATTTGTTGTGGCATTTAAACTTGTAATAATAAAGTAGATTAAGATTAATGGTGGCATATGATCTTGCTTGGGATGGCACACTCCTTTATTAACTATAAGGTGCTAAAACTAAGGTTTTTACTATGGCTTGGTAGGATTATAGGACTAAAATGGTGCCGTTTAGCAAACATAGGAGCAGAAGACTCCTGTAAGCTTTTTTACTACACCACTGTTGCTTATAAATTCAAAATATACAATTCATTCAATCTAAACTTTCAAATCTGATCATGTAAATCAACAAAACCTACAAAACAAATTAATAATGCAACAATGTTCAAATCTGAAATGCACACAAAAAAATCAGATGAATAATGTGACATTGAAAAACAAGCCAGTAAGAGGAGAGCATTAAGCATCAACTCGCCTATTACTCACGTGTTTCATTCCTCCCGTCACCTAATCGTCTCGTGTACACGATAATAAATTTTTGTTGTTGTTCAAAAAAGCCATTTCTGTGCCATTTGGAAGTGAATTTTATGACTTAAATTTTTATTTTATTTCTGTTTAGTCACGATTTTTCATTTCAAGACATTTTAACATATTTAAGCTACATTTGCACAAGATTGGCATTTTTTTATAGTTATTGAAAAAATGTGACTTTTTTTCCCTTCGAGTGACTTTAAAGAAGATTATTTTGGCATGTGCGAACAAAAATGAATAATAATAATTTTTATGCCATAAGTAAGCGCATTATTTGTTATAGTGTTTGCGGTTAATCGTGCGGCATGATGCAAATAATTATTGTTTGCTCTTTTTTTGTGCTTGCTGCTCCAGATCACAATTTTACTTCCCACACACGTGTACTGCCTGACGAGCTTTTATCATAAATATATGTGGGCTATTTTTGGGGTAGCATAATGGCGAGGCTATTTATGGAACCTTTTGCATCATTGACATTTCACTAACCTTTTCTAGATGCGCTTTATTTAAAGGCATGAAATTGACTGTCATCATCGTCATTCGTCGTCATGTCTACTCAATTCAATGGCATTTAAGGCATTATTTAATAATCTTCATCATTAAATAATTATTTTTGCGACACTTTTTTGCCATCTTAGCTACTGTTGCTGTTGCTCATTGCATGTGTAATTAAAGCCATTTAAAAAATGGACTGTAAATTACATCAGACAATTTAAAAAATAAAAAAAAAAAATTCCTGACTGACTGACTTGATACATAATTTTTTTCTTCAAACCTGCGTCTGGCATTACTCAATCGTCACCATTTGAAAAATGTCAGTTGAGTAAGAGGAGCTGAACTATTAAGCGTGTGCATTTCATTAAAGTTAATGCCACATAGAAAAATATAAAGCTTAAATCCATCAAAATACCCGGCAAATAAAAATAAAAGAGTTAAATAAATTGAATGGCAGTGCATTGAGCATTTATATGAGGAATAGAAAAAAAAATATTGTTTAAATGCAATTGCAGTGTAGGAAGTGAGATAGAAAAACCGGCAGCCGCTTGCGCTATGAATTATACAAGTATTTGTAGTTTCGAATGGCATTGAGATTTGCTACACGTGCCACTAATTTTTTTCTTCTTTTTCTTCCTTCTCTCACTTTATATGACTTGCATCTAATACTGCAAATAAGTTTATTAGTTGTTTTTTATTTATTTTTATTTAGCAGCTCAAAAGCTCATTCACATATCTGTAGCTGAATAATTTTTTTCTTCTAAAAATGAATCTCGAGAAGATCTAAACTGAATAGTTTTATCATGCTCAAAATATTTTGTGATCGGGGGCAGTTTATATGTTAAGTAGCTCTATAATTGCACATAGTTGAATTGCCAATACAAAGCTATCCAAGAAGCTAGTCACATAACATCCACAAACCCCCGACTTATAAAGACCAGCTGGGTTGATGTAAAAATAGAAGACAATTTGTTGCCAAACCTAAACTACGATTTTATTATAGTTAGCCTCTCTAAATCTGTTATGTCACTCGTCAACAAATCAATTTTTTAATTCTGTGACTGAATAAAAAATATTTTTTTTCTACAATCCAATCTGAAATAAACAAAAAGAATTTGCAATTTTGATTATGCAATTGCTGTACACGAGCCGGTTTATTTTTTATTGCAATTCTCAAGTTGAGTCACAACCTAATTTGTGCTTCTTGTTGTTGCTCGTTGCATCGATTTTTCATTGAGCTGACAATAATGAAAACAGCAGTTTTGTGCAATTGGAGGTCATGAGAAATAAAGTCCACTTCCTTGATGTGTTTAGCACTCAGCTGAGGGAATTATTGGTAGCTCATACATACATAATATTTTTTAATATGCCTCACGAGCGACAAGCTTGACAAATGATTTTTTATTTTCATAAATTAGCTGTGGAAGATGAGAATTTACAGCTCTTTATTTTTTTGTTGAATAGCCAGAAGTGCACTCTTGTAAATAATCATAATCATAAAAAATAAGTATCACATATGCATGCAAAATGTGCAGCATGAGTGAGACAGCGAATGCATAAAATTAATGGCAAAAAAGTGACCTTGCACAAAAAAGACTATTAAAAGTGTGCCTCTCTCTCTCTTGTTCACTCGACATTCACTCATCAACGGCATGTGCAAAAAAAAAATCAGCAGCAGCAGTGGCAAATTCATATACACACAATTTTCAAGGCATATCATATGATATGTGCAATCATCAGCTGTTTTCTTTTTACTGCCATACAATTTCTTTTTAAAACTTGTCTTTTTTCTGTTGCTGTTGCTGTGCTGCTCAGACAGTGTGCAAAGGAATGATAATTAACAAAACAAAATGACTCGAATGTCATTTGTCATGGCAGTGAAAATTAAAATATCTTTTCAAGCAACAATTCATTTCTGTTGATGATTATTGACATTAAACTTTGCTGTCCATCCCACGCAGACCTAAAGGAACGAAAGAGTTAATTTTTGAGTCTTTAAAAATGAAATTTTGTTTTAAAGACAACAAAAAAATTATTGATTCTTGTGCCAAGTGCATTTTGGTGTGCTAACCGGCAATGGCATTGAATGATGAAAAGAACAGAGAGGAAAATAACCAAGCTTGGGTTCAGTATGCAACAACAATGCTATGATGATATTTTTTCAAGGTTGCATGCACTACACAAGCGCATATTGCAGTTCCTCTATTCTTTGCTTTTATAGAACTTTTTTATGCCAATAAAGCAACGCATATGCTGAAAAATAAATCTTAATTCACCTTCCAAATGTTAATGAAATGAACTAAACCATCAAAAATCCAGACAGAGTAAATTGCACACCTGAAAGTTCTTCTTTTTTAACTAATTTGATTAATGAGATTTTTTTTTTGTTGCTGGCTGGTTAACAATGTATGAGTGATTTGTACATCAAGAGGAAGAGACGATGATGATGATGATTTTCAATGCCAAAAAATAATGATTTTCTGGGTGTAGCAGTACACT